AGCAGATAAACCCCACATGAATCAGAAGCCAACGAGAAGGAGACCAGTACGGAAGAAGATACGTCCGTAAAATTAAGAGATTTTGTTGAATTTTGATTTTGTGTTTGTAAATTCTGTATATTTAATTAAGTTATTGTTAATTGTTTATTGATTTAATGTAAGTGGCTATTGTTCGGGACGAACAATACTAAGGAAGGGGCATTGTTACGACAGCGGAAGTCACGTGACCCTAGTAACACGTCATGAACTTCTAGAAAAATCATGTCCCTTCGTGAAGCCTCAAGTGTTTACTAGATGTACGGTATTCTTGTATATAAGACCGCCAAGAAGTGACGGCAACAATGTAATTGAACTGCAGACAGACACAGAGACTGATAATTGAGTCGAGCACATGAGTCGTTCGTTGTGAATTATAGCGTTTGTTATAGCGTGACTGTGGAAATTAAGTGTATTGCAAAGTAGTATTCAGAAAGAATAAACCAGTTTTATTAATTAAGGACTTGTGTCGCTAAAGTTTCGTCAGAACGAAGTTACGGAAAGTTAATTAACAAACGGAGACGTTACAATATATACACACACACATATAAATTAAATGTGATGGGAAAAACAAGTATGTTCAGAAATCAAGATTTGAAGAAGAAAAAGAAGGTAAGTTGTTTGAAGATTTATTGTTACAGATAGTCATCTTGAGTGTGGTGGAAATAAAGCTAAAATTTCTAAAATCAGTAAACAACTTATAGCTATTGAGGGTGAGTTGAGAAATATAATTTCTTTGGGATCACAGCATAAGACAGCAAAAAACAACATGAAAAGGTGAAATGGAAGAGATACTGTCTCACTTGGAGTTTTTACTTGACAGTTTGTTTTGGTTTGTTTTGAATTTTGCGCAAAGCTACACAAGGGCTATCTGTGCTAGCCATCCCTAATTTAGCCGTGTAAGACTAGAGGGAAGGCAGCTAGTCATCACCACCCAATGCCAACTTTTGAGCTACTCTTTTACCAATGAATAGTGGGATTGACCATCACATTATAATGCCCCCATGGCTGAAAGGGTGAGCATGTTTGGTGTGACAGGAATTTGAATCTGCGACTCTCAGATTGCGAGTCGAGTGCACTAACCACCTGGCCATGCCAGGCCATTACTTGACAGAAGATATCTATACTACTCGATAAGAATGTGAGTTTTTTGGAATGTTCTTTTTGTCCTTCGTTAACTTTCAAATAACTTTACAAAAAATAAACACTTTTCAAAGAGACTGCTCTGAAATGAGCCACTTTACACATTAAACATAAATACAAAAATGACTTCTATCATTAAACAAAATATTTTGAGATAAATAAGACATAAAAAGTTGCTGAACATTTTGAATGAAGGGAATAGTCTGGAATAAAAGATAAAGCCACTAGTATAATTGTTGTTGATTGTGTGTAAAGCTACTTAAAAGTTACCTGTGCTAGCTTTTCCTAATTTTCCATTTACCCACCACCAACTCATGGGCTACTCTACCTAAAAGGTGGGATTTGTCAATCACTCTTATAACACAGCCATAGCCCAAAGCATGGAGCATGATTTTCTTTTTCCAGAGTCAATGTGGCAAGAACCACAGAACCTCAGATTCACAGTCCAGCACACTAACCACTAACCATGTTTGGTCCCTACATTTAGAGAAAACTTGTAAAGCATCTGAGCACTTACCTGGCTCTCATTTGTTGAACTGCTGCTGGAGGAAGCTCTCCATGAACCACAGAAATGTTGACCCCAGCTTTTTCAAATACTTCACCATCTTGTAACACACATGTGATACCTCCTCCACCCTAACAGAGAAAGATAATTATCACTGATTACCAATCAAATCATTTACTGAGATAAATAAATTTTGATAATCACATAGCAGCCAAATTATGTTTCATTTTAAGGAAGTTTTAATCCTTTCATGGTTACCTAAAACCTAGGTCCATTAATGGCAATGTTTCTGTATAAGGTGACACAGATTCGTTAAATAGTTTTGGAACCTATAAACAAATATCTGATCCCAAAAACACTCATTTGATATTCAGACATATAATGTTCTTATTTTATTTCCATTTAATTTGTTTTCTCTTTCCAACTTAATATCACAAAATGTAATTTTGTTTAATTTTGTATGTAGCATTTTTTATAATTTTTCATTTTGCTTTATCAAACCATAATATACCATCTTTTTAAATCTTAATCAAAATTCAAATTATTGACTTTTTCCCCTATTAAGTAATAAGAACCATTGTTTTGGTGTTACGTATGATATGTAGCAAGTGGTTTCAAAGTGTTAATTCTAGTCAATATCATGAAATAAAAACTTGAAAAACTTGAGGAAGACAGCAGGAAACACCAGATAGTGCAAGTAATGTGACACAAGGTTGTGGAGAGTGGTCCAAATGCCTACCTGGATAATCTCCTCCAAAGGAACGACAGAAATGAGCAGGCAAGAACATGGGAAGGTGACTGATCTGATGGGATGAAACACATAACAATTGGCAAGATTCAGGAGAACGGGAGTGAGAGCCATGAAAGGGTGGTGTGCATGACAAGTAACACTGTAAAGCACAGACAGGACACAGGAGACAATATGGATCAGAGAAGGAGTAAATATGGGATATGGAAGGAAGTGTAATAGGGGTGAAGGCAAAATCGCCTTCATAGGCAGATGATATTTTGGAATGGTTAGGATATAAAAGGATATAGGTTTTGTAGTACAAAATGTGGTGAATGTCAATGGCGAACAAATCCAACCAACGATATCCATAGTCCAAAAAGAGAAGGAAATACGTCTTCAAGGAAAGGTGATATAAGGAACATGAGATTAGCAATTCAAATGGAGGAAGGGAAAGGACATGGAGAACAACACTTAGATTCCAGTCCAGAAATTGAGTGGTATGAGGAGGACATTGTAGATGCATAGACTAAAATAAAGAAAAATAACTGGAGAGGAAAACACACAGGAAAAACAAAAGGTAGATGACAGAGCCACACTAAAGCCCTCAATGGTTGAAAAGGGAAGACTCATGTCAAACAACCATATAAAAATTCAGATATCTGAGGAAGGGAAGAATCCATGCTGAAGAGACCAATGACAGAATATTCTCCACTCACATTGATACACATACATGGATGAAAAATGGACAGAGTGAGACAATGGGGATGCAACATTTGTGGATAGTCCAGAACCCCTCGCAAATAACTGGACAAAAGCCACAAGTAAAGCCAGAATACAGAAATTGAGGGATGAAGCACCCAAGTTTGTTGTTGCCAAAGGAGGGACCAGGAGAGATAGAGAGGTAGTTCCAGGAGAAGGGACAGAAACTATGGTTGAGCAGCCAGAAAGAAGTCACAAGAAGGGCTCAACATGGAACGAAGTGGATGAGAGAAATTACTTGGGGTAGACAACAGAAGGAAGTGTATGTATAAAGGTCCTTCCAATCCTGGCTGAATGCATCCATGGCAAAAGCCAAAGGATGTGGAACTGGAGACTAAAAAAGAGGAAGTCTGGCATTCATTTGAGTGGCAAATGCATACAGCTGGGAGGTAATCCAACTGAGAATATAGCCATCTGAATACCTTGGGGTCAAGAGACCATTCCGTGGGTAAAATATTGTCAGGATAGGACAGACAAACCATGACAAGTTTGAGGGCACCTGATGTGTGACAAGCTGGCAAATAAATTTGATGGCTGTGAGCCCAGAAGAGGAGCTCTAGAGTGTGGGAACATAAGTGCCCCCTTGTCAGGTGGTGAAAGAGACAACTGTCAAGTTGTAGGAAAGAATCATAACTGTCTTGGTCCAAGAGATAACAGAAATTGAATCACCACCTAATGAACATCAAAGAGTTCCAAAATGTTAATGTGAAGACCTAACTCCTTCAAAGACTAATGGCCCAAGATTTCCTGTGTATTGCAGCATACGCAAACCCCATCTTGACAATGAGGCATCTGTGAAGATGTGGTTATCCAAACGGAGAAGGAATAGGTACCCCCCCTCCCACTGTTGTGTTGTACCTAATTAACCACCAGAGGAAGTTGGACTGAAGGGAAGCAAGAAGGTATATCTGTAAATCTAGATGGACTCTGATGAGATGCCATTAATCATGTAGTACCCACTGCAGGGCATGGCCCAGAGGGTAAGAGCCTCCAATGATTCCAAAGTCCCAAAAGAGATAGAACCTCTCACACAGAAAGAGAAGGTGCTGAGAGTGCCCTCTGAACTAAAAATTCCATGGCTCACAGACAAAGAGAAGGTTGAACTTGACTAAGATGCGAGTTGAAAAACACCCCCAGAAGAACAATATATTGGGTGGGGGGATAATGGACTTCTCCATCTTCAAAATCCAACCCACCTGAGCAGTTTCTCTGATAAGAAGTTGTGTGTGTGTGAAAGACTGAAAATGATGGAACAAGAAAAAGCCAGTCATCCATATAAAAATAGAAATTGAGCCAACAAAAATGTAGGAATCCTCAGGAACAAAACATAGATAATGACATGAAGCCAAAGCAATAGGGATGTGAAGATATGTATTGAACACATCGAATCTCATCATCCAAAGCCATGGAAGAAAGGCCCATCTGAGAGCCAGGTAGGATTCCATGGTGAATCAAGGCATGTTGAAGAAGCAATTCAGATGGGAGAGATCAAAAACAAGATGCCAATACCCAGTCTTATTGTGGATGACAAAAATGAACAGATGAATGTGGATGAACAGAATCCTGGTTAGAAGCACAGGAAAAGCCAGTGCGATGGCTCCCTTGATGAGAAGGTAGGATGCTGATGGGAAACAGGATCTTGAGGGGGGGGGGACAACTGGAACAAGGGATAAAGTAGGAAGTGTAAGGAAAAGGAGGGAGAGTCTTTCTGACGAAACTCGAATGACTCAAGGGTTTGCTTAATGATGATATGTAAGTGCATGATCCTCTGTAGTACGTGCGGGTACAGAATACTAACCCTAGCACAAAATTGATCTGCAAAACATTCAGCATGGACCCCAATATCAGGCGAAGGGAAAAAATTAAAACTCTAAACTAGGTGCTGCAGTTAAAAATGAAGGGGAAGGATCAAATGACAAAGACAAAACACAAAATACCTGTGATATCAAGTCTAAAAATGGTGATTGAGGTCTAGGTGCTTCAACAGGCTGAGAATGTGCCTGTACTGCAAAGAAAGAGGGAGAAGGATGTACAAGAAGGCAGTGGCCTGATCTAACTCCTCAGGTAATGGTAGAATTGTTTGTAGACTGGGAGATCCCTTGGGCCATATAAAAGAAGCCATCTCCTGACAAACTACAGCCAACACTCCCTCTACCAATAACACCGCACCTGCAGCCATTTTCATGGGCTGTTGAATGCTGGTACCATTGTAATCATAAAATTAAATTGTGAATTCATAAATATTGACTAACTACTGATAATTGAGTGAGAAATAGAATTCAAATCAAATAAAGAAATCCAACCCAATAGTGGATTATAAACAATACTTTAAAGTGCAAAAATTAGTAACTGAATGTTTTCAAAATGCACTAAAGAACAAAAAAATGATTGAAATCAAGCACTAGGTCTTAACATTATCATGCCAAATCAAGATATGAAAATCAGGTGGAGGACTGTTGCATGCTAATTTGCATGCTTAAATGCAGCAGAACCATGCGGTATACATGTGGAATTAGGTGGGAGTTTCAAGGCTAGTGATAAGCAAAAATTTGCACACTAGAGGGCAGTCAAATCGAGAAAAGATGCAACTGTGAAAGGAGGTAAGTAATTGTATTAAAATTTTAAAGTTTCTATCTTATGTTTATTAACATAGAATTACAAAATTTCTATTTTGGTTTTATTAAAATAATATTATAATGCATGATTTATTATCCTTGATTTCAATCAATCATGTTGTCCTCCCCAATTCTAAGGGTCAATGACTATGGTTTTCCATTGTTATCTATTCTAAATAATCATTAAATTTTAAGTTTTTTCCTAACATTATTGAAATAGTATCATGATGCATCTTTTTAAATTTGAGTTCATTCAATCATGATGTCTTCTCCAGTTCTGAGAGACAATAACTATAATTCTCCATTGTTCTCTATTCCTAGTTGCACACACCAACTTTACTAATTCAAGCTTATAATCTCTAATCCATTTTCTAATGTCATTGAGCAGATCACTCTTTACCAATTTTCTCTCAGATGAATTTACATACCTACAGCAAACATATTCCATTTCCTGTATATCCAGCAGTTGTCTTTCCACATTCTGATACATACTTATTACTTGTTGTGTTTTTCTATGTGGCTGATCCTCATCATTCTTCTATAATAACATTACATTTCAAATGCTTTCATATGTTATTTTGTTTCAGCAGACAGGGTGCATGTTTCCATCCTGTAACATTTTAATTGTCTCTTCTTCAATTCAAGTCTTTGATTTCGAAATAAGTATCTAATTTTACCAGAATACCTAACTTACAAATCTACTAATGTTTATGCACCTGTGGTCTTTTCCACTGATCAACTTGAAACTTCTTGCCTCCTTCAACCTCTTCAAGGGCATGACAGACATCAGCCTGAAGAAAAAAAGTTAACTAATATACCAAATCATGAAAAAGGTAAAAACAAAAAGGGTCAGTGATAAATTATTACATAAAATACTTAGTGTGCTGTGTTGTTTTAAAGGATCTCAAGAACAATAACTGTGTTTAAATTAGTATAAAAATTGTATTCATATACTATTAAGAATAAATATCATAAAAACAACTTATATGCATTATACATATAACATACAACATCAAGCTGGTGAATGCTCTTTCTTCTACACAATACAGTACACATTACATATTTAATAAGACACTGAAATAGAATAAAATTAATTTTAACACATTTTCAACTAGATTAGTATAGATTCCCAACAAAAGAAGAATACATAATATCATTTCAAGAATACATTATCTTTTGTAGGCTGTAGCTGTGAAGATCAATCATCCAATACCAATGTATCAATCCTTCAGATACAATAATCAAGGCATAATTCAAAAAGAAATCTCTAAATGTGACTTGGGTTTGGCTGATGAAGAAAACAATAACAAGTCTGATAATATTCTTAATCTATCAATCAGTAACACTCCCAAGATGTTTATAAAACAATGAGTTACTTATCAGAAATGGGGCAGCTACACATTTCTTCTTTTTCAGTTAAAAATTAAAACTTTTCTTAAACTATCTTTGAAAAAGTTGTTATATGCTCTTCTGTAATGTTACTACCACTGTTTGTTTGTTTGTTTGGAATTTCGCGCAAAGCTACAAAAGGGCTATCTGCGCTAGCCGTCCCTAATTTAGCAGTTTAAGACTAGAGGGAAGGCAGCTAGTCATCACCACCCACCGCCAACTCTTGGGCTACTCTTTTACCAATGAATAGTGGGATTGACCGTCACATTATAATGTCCCCACAGCTGAAAGGGCGAGCATGTTTGGTGTGACAGGGATTCGAACCCGCGACCCTCAGATTGCAAGTCGAGTGCCTTAACCACCTGGCCATGCTGGGCCTACTACCACTGTTTTCACTAATTTCTTACTGTAAATTTCAAATCACACACACATTATTCAGATAACTCTTTCAGCACAGGCCCGGTCACTGGCACCGACCTCATAACCACTTTATGCTTGTTATAGTTTTCATGCTATAACTTCTAAATTAGTAAGTGTATGTTAATGAAATTTGGCAGATTATCAGTAAACATTACAATGCTTACATATGCAAAATATAAAATTTTTTTTATTAAGTCTTAAGGTTTGTAAAACAATGTTTTTCTCGTGTCTTTTTTTTCACTTCTTGCCTATCTATCATGCAAAGTAATTTTCATTTTAAGCTTAAAAATACTTTTATGCATCAGAAAATTTTGAAATTTGACATATGAAGTCTCTATAATGTCCAGATAGTTATCAAACATTTCTTGAGAAAAACTTTATATTTTATCTGTTATTTTCAGTAATTAATCTCTGTATGGGTTCAGTAGATTTGACTGATCTTGCAACAACCATAAAAAATTAGGAAATAAATACAAATTATAACACAAAACATACATGTTTAGACTAAATAGCTTAAATCTCATAACATTATACATTTATATATATTTATTATTTTTATTATATTGACCTTTTAGCCATGCCTGGCTAACAATACAGAAGTTACAATGATGCAGCTCATGTGCACTCATGTTACTGTTTCAAATAACATAAAACTGACCTTTGGTCTGTGCAAAGTAACTTGTCTTAGCTGTGTTTTTGTAGCTTAATATTTTGTACAATACAATCAAATTTCAATTATTATACATTACATACGTATATAGATTATTACTATTTTGAAACAAGTTTTTAAAGTTATTTTTCTTAAAACATAGAACAGTAACTAAAGAAGTAAAGCAAACAATTATCTATTCTAGTTATGACCTTTGTACTCGGTTGCTGCTTGACGTAGGTTATCAAGCCTTTAAAACATTTGCACATGGAGGATATGAAACAAAATATTTTTTTTAGGTTTTATATATACATTTTAATACCGAAAAACTTAAATTACTATATCGATACCATAGAATTCAATTATAATTTATCAAACTTAGTAACTAAGCTGTATTTGGGTCTAAAAAAATATGAAATTTCGAGCAGACTAAAGACACACCCTACCTCATTTAAGTATTAATTCAAAAGAAAGAAATTGCACCAAGCCCGTTAAAATGTCTGAGAAAGCCACTAGGGGACATTCTAAGCTTCCGATTGTTTATTCATGTCATATATAGAAATGTATATATGGAAGCATTTCCAAAAATGGTAAGAGGTGGGTGGGGGTGCCAATGTGTTTGATTTATTACATGAGCAGTATCTCAGCAAATTAAAAAGATAAGAGGCTCTTATTTCATATTCTAGCTTGTGAATATCGGTAATTTAAGTTTCTAATTCATACAAAACTATAGACTTAGTATTTTGATTTCACAAACATCTAATTAGAACCAGAGCTGCATTCAACATACCATGTGACACATAAAAATTGATGTTTAACTGTGTTACTTTTAAATTAAGAAATTGAGTAATGTATAGTACTAAAATTTGAATTATAATTTACTGTTTGATACCAAAGTTACTGATATAAATTTATGAAATAGAAGTTCAATAAAATTTTGAATGCGAGTCAACAAACAAGATGACATGGCCTTTCACCTGTGTTTGTTTGTTTGAAGTTAAGCACAAAGCCACACAATGGGCTATCTGTACTCTGCCCACCACGGGTATCGAAACCCGGTTTCTAGAGTTGTAAGTCCGCATACATACCGCTGTGCCACTGGGGGGCTTCACCTGTGACCCGTCTCAAAAGGGATAACTAGAGATAACAAAAAGCATTATAAGTCATGAAAGTCAGGGGTCAAGCCAGACTCCCAAAACAGGGAGAAGTCACTACTCCCTCCAGGTGCCAACAGAGAAAGGTTTTTGGAAATAGGGAGACTTCATATTTCTGTATCAAACACCATTTAATAAAGGAATTGTTTATTTAAGGATTAATTATATCCATTACACATGTATATATATATATATACTTATAATTTGGAGCATTAAACAATGATAATTGAAATTTTAATTTAAAAACTTTTTCCTTTAGAATCTAAGAAAACCAATTTATTTACTGCAATTTGAATCAATAATCAGTCTTCATTCAAAATAATATAAGCCAATCTTCTAGGTTTGCTTCATTTTTCTTCCTTTTTCTTTTCTTTTTAAATTTACATTTTGAATGCTGGTCATGATTGGTAGTCTTAGTAGGATTTTCATGCGCATTGCTTTTTCCTGTATCATTAGAAATTGAGCATTGCTAAAATCCTTTGGTATATTGTACATAGTAACTGAATTAATTATAACTCAAAACTTTGTGAAACTTTTTAGTTTTTCATTCTCTTATTTTTCATTGGAGTATTTCATTTCTGGTCAGAATTTGACTCAAATCTCATGAAGGTTTTTTTGCCCAACCAATTTGCTAAACACATTCTGACGAAATAAAGAATACAATTAATAGAGCAAAATATAAGTCTTATTTGACTGCATGCATAAAATGCAATTATATCTGTAAATTAATGCAATTTAAAATGGCAGAGCTTTATGATAAATACCTTGTGTAATCAATGATTACCTCCTTTGACAACCAATCAAATAAAAATACAGCAATCTGTGCGGTGTAAAAAAAACACCTTTCCCAGTCATCATTAACATCCTTCCATAATCCATTGAGAGTAATCAACCAAATTATGTCTATCAATACAGTAGACTTTTTTCTTTGTTTTGACACAAACTTTCAATAACTACTGGGGTACGTAATTTATATTGACTTACTTTAAGTGGAGAAATCAGATCAAGCATACTGATTGGCTTATGCCTATATAATGCATGCTGAGTTAAAACGAACATGGATAAACATGTAGTGTTTCGGTTATTTGATTGGCTTATATCAAGAAGTTGGAAACCAAATGTGATAATACTATTTTTTTTATTTAACACAACAAATGCCCTAGTCCAACTGATCTGATAAATGAAAATTACTTGAACCTTGTCGAGGGGATAAAAAGGTGAAGTCACAGCTTTGAAGGTGAAGTTTAAAGGCACTTCATACAATTTCATGCCTTCTGAAAATGCTGTGATCAAGCACTATTTTGATCTATTTTGAATTATTTTACATGTAGACCAGCAAAAACAAGATAATATAGAAAATGACTCAGATTATAACATCCAAAGTGAAGTAACCACCACATGCAAAGATGAGTGTCTCAAGATAGAGTACAGTCAATAAACTGTTCAAATTTTAAATAGGTAATTACCTCAGAATTACAAAAGTCTTTTCTTGTTCAGTTGCTTTCATGCTGTCAACAGTAAAACTCATGGGAGTGGAAACTACAGGTAAGTTGATGCATGCTCCACATTCTATCAAGGACATTCAGAATTTTAGTCACATTTGTTGACAGCAATGAAAGCAACTGAACAAGGAAAGGCTTTTAGTACTTCAGACGTAAGTTTATATAATATGTAAGCTTGGGTATAGATGAAATAAAAATATACAATAAAAACTAAAAAGCATGAGAAGAAAACTGACATGCATTATATGCTTTATACATTAGTTAAGATAATTTATTATACATTTATCTTTTATCTCTGAAAATGAAATAACAAAGCTATAAAATTAAAACTTTCCAGCACAGCAATTACTGAAATGTTGTAGTATGTTAATTTTGCATTATAATTATTAAAGATGAATATATTACTTAAAGGCAAAATGTGAAACGATGTAGGAAGGGAAAGTTATGTTATCAATTTACTAACTTTCTTTGAAAATGTTACAGTTAATCCAGGTATGGGTTTGATGTACGTAAACATTCATAAAGCTTTATACCAGATGCAATATAATACTATAAGAAGATTGCATCTATTGGTGCAAAAGATAAGTGGATTAAGAGTGTGGTAAAAGGTTGCCATTCACAGATTGAAATCACAGTGGATTAACGTTACAAGTGGTGTACCTCAGAGTTTTGTACTAGTCTTTTTCTATTTCTCATTTTCATTAATAACATTGCTTATGAAATACTCAGTTAAGTGGTTAAATTTAGAGATATTATACTGATACTAACAGATGTTTATTGAAACAATTTAACAGTAATTTTCTTGAAAATAGTGATGTCTAGTCAACCTAGAGTGGATCAGTGTGTGTATGCAATATGATTGTCTAGTGGGCCATTTACAAACATCTTTTGTCATTACATGTATAACTTTAATAAGGAAAATTGCATTGCATTTGTTGTTAAGTAAAAGAGACCGACTGCAATGCACTGTTGGCAAAAATGTTTTGGTTTCGATGTAATGGGTGCATCTAGTACAAAAGAGAGCTCAGATTCACTTAGAAGCCAAGGGTTTTTTTTTTCTGTTGGAAGCCACCATTCCTTGTCATTTTACTAAGTAAAAGAAAAGACCACTACCAAAGTGAGCACTTTTTGACAGTTGTCACTTCTATTTAGTCTTATAGGAGAGATATTCAATTCAAATTAAAATCATGCATGCATATAACACTGACATGGACAAAAATATATATAAATGAAACAACAGCAAATACATATTCAAACATGTTCCTGTTTTTATGCATTTTTTCATTCATGCTCCTATCTTCAAAATATTTCTTTCAATCAGTCAACAGAGGAAGTTAATTTTTTCATGAAATTCCCTCAAGAAAAGAAACATTTTTGTTCTTAAGTTTTTTTTTCTCAGATTGACAGTTCAGCACATATGAAAACTAACAGATCTATGTTGATATTGACATGAAATTTTAGGAATTGCAAAACATTTTGATATATACTTTTTTTTCTACAATTAACCATTTGGGAGATATAGAGCATGACAGACACACATTTGGCTATCATATATATACTAGCAGAAACGCTGCCCTACAGACGGCTGTTTGTGCTAATAATTACTAATCATAGTATTCATACCTCTGAAAAAAAGTTAGAAAAAAGTTAGCATTTCCTACAAAAAAGGATTTTTTCTGGGACGTACTACATGGGAAAAGTATCCAGATTGTGCTCTTTAGTCAAACTCATTGCATCAAAATGATTCAATATACAGAGCTCAAAATTTTCATAAGTTTTACTAATATAAACTGTAATGTTTGATATATTAAAAGTAATACCACTTATTGAAAAAATATTTTTTAACAACTCCAGTTTCTCAGTACTACATTTATAAATTAAATCAATAAAGATATAGTCAAACCCTCACATACAGTCTCAGTGAAAGTCATGTTCTTTTTGTGAGGTGAATACTTTTATTTAAAATTGTGTTCTATTATAAAGAAATGGTTGTTGCATATACCACAGTTATTATTCTAATTGTCTGAATCCTGAATACCCAAAGTGTGAAATATGTTATGGATTTTTGTTTGTGATACCATTCAATAGCTGGCACAGGAGTTTTTGTTACATACGTTTATTATAGTAAGAAGATATATTTCAGACTGCACTGAAAATGCTATATTTCCACAGAGAAATTTAATATATTTGTTGAGCTGGAGTTGCATCTGAAAGATGCCTTTTACTCTTAACACAAGTAAGATTATGCACATTAGTTTACTACAGCGTTAATTATTCTTTAATATAGACTTGCTGGAAAAACTCTGGGTGCATTTTGTGAAGAAAAAGATCTTGGCATAGCTATTACAAAATCTCAAAAGCCTTCCAGAGAGTGTGTGTGTGTGTGTGTGTCAGTTAGTAATAATGCAAAGTCAAAGGTTATTGTTTCACTCCATACAGTGCTGTTTAGACATCATTTGGGACACTATGTTGAATTATTGGAAAGCGTTCAGAGATAATACTGATTCCAGGTTTTTAAGAGGTTATCTTTTATAGATACAAGTTGAAATGTTTTGATGAGAAATAAGGTTCAGAGAGACATGACTGAGTTTTTAAACTGTTAGATTCAGAACCAAAAAGCTAGATCATATTTTCACAAAATCTCTGCAGGCAGTAAATTTAGAGGACACAAGCTTAAAATATGGAAAACTAAGACAAATCGAAATATGTCAATTTTACTTTTCTTATAGAGTTGAAGAAGAGATTATATGAGCATTTTAGAGGTCAAAGTTGAATGCAGGAAGAGGAAGTTTCAATTTTTAATGTAGACTAGGGTGGTAGTAGAAAATAGAATAGCTTAGATTGGACAAAAGCTGATTATTTATTGCAAGTTAAATCAATGTCAAACATAAAATGTACAAGCTAAAGTCATCAACTTTTAAGTAGTTTTAACAATGAATAGTCATACCCATTCTTTTTCATCCAAAGTATTTCAGATTACAAAAGACTTGAATATTTTTTTATTTGGCCAGAATTCTGCCATGAAACCATCAATAAATTATGTGAAATATTTGAATATTATTAACAATGAAGAGTCTTACCTGAACTTTTAAAATCATTAATTCCATCCTAGACTTCATATCGTTAATGTTCTGAAAAAAAACACAAATAATATTAATGCATATTATCAGGATTATTTACTACCTAATAACATTCAGAAAAAGGATGCTATTGTTTTTATTGTAAAAAATATGTAGAATCAAAAAGATGCCAAGTCACATTAAAAAAAGATAATAAAATCAAGTGTTTTTGAAAAGCACTACTTTCATAAATACATATTTTATTGTTTATTCTAGTATAGATTTGTTTTAGAATTGCAAAGAACATTGGTTTATAAAATGGGAAGACGGAAAATCATATAACTAAAACTCCTTTACTTGTATCAATAAACTTGAAAATTATAGGAAAAATATTGTAGGCTACAGATCATATACCAATGGACTCAATACAAAACTGTAAAATCTATGAAGAATATACAGAATTTCTAGCACTTATGGAGGCTACAAGAGAGATAAAATATAACTAAATGATGGTTTGAAACTTTCTGAAAAATAAAATAAAATGTTTAAGCTCATTTATTATGATTATATTTCTCATCAGATTTATGCATATCTAATTTCAAAATGTGTTGTTCTCATGACAAGCTAATTTTTGAAAAAATGTTTGCTACCATCATTAAACTAATATTTCAACTAATCTGACACTTATGTATTTGTTTTAAATTACAAAGTACTTCAATTACAATGAAAATAATATACAAAACAGACAAACAAAATGTTAAATACCTAACAGAACATGTGCATTTCTTATACATTTGCTCACTCTATTAACCCTTTCTCAATGGGCTCAGTGAATAATACACGAGTTCGTATACACATGTTAAGTATTTATACTATACCTTTTAATGCAGTATATGCATCTTCACAAAATTTGGTAGACCTTTAGTAAATATTGCAAGTCTTTTGTACACAAAAAATTAAATTCTTTATTGAAGTACTTTTACTATAGAGTTGTTTGTGAATATATTGAGTCTGTTTCTTACTGGTCTGAGTGGAAATGATTTTCGTGTTACAACTAAAAATACTATTCTTCATCCCAAAAATCTCAAATTTCTTTTGTGTAATCTTTAAATCCTCCTAAATACATTTCAAACATTCGTTTTCAGTAAAACTATATCTTATCAGTTATCTAATGATATACTTGAGTCTTCAGCCTGTAGATCAATCCCGAAAGTATAATGAAAAGACAAGTTGTAAAATTAGAAATAAAAGGAGCAGCTGTGCCTTTTTTTTTGTTATTATTGGTCAAGAAGTTTCAAAGTACTTCTCTTGAGTTTAAAATGATAAACAGTTCACATTTATTTTCTGTGTTTATTTTGCTGTCAACAACTAAAGTAGAATCCCACTGAAAATAAACCAACAAATTGCTGTTTGTGTCAGTACTGTTTACATGACACCACCGTAATATGATACTCCTGAAAGCAACAAAGCACGCACAAAAAGACAGTCGACTCAATCCCTGCTCTGAGAACAGGATGTCTAATGTATGAGATTACGTATGCTAAAATGTTTTCTTGGAAAATTCAGAGTAATCACACTGCATTTAGAATCAGTCTAGTCTCCTTTGGAAAACATTCTTATTTTTGCAACTAAAGTGTAGTTTAGAAGTTCCCTTACAGTTGTGAAACACACTGAGTTGTCACTGACTTTTACCTTGAAGTAAGTAATTATCATTTATAATATATACACAAAATCTCTTTTCAGTAAGTTCAGTATATAGTTGTTGATCTAAGTTCAGTGTAGCTGCTTCTGTATCTTAACATATCATATACTGCTTCTGAAATCTATGAAACACATCCCAGAATATATATACATGTAAAGCAATTATACACAAAGAATATACATAATTTACATGTAATGTGTTTTTTTCCTTCTAGAAATAGATAAACAGTCAGTAAAGAAAAAAGTGGAGCAAATGAAAAAGAAGAAATCTCTTTCTGAGGAAGAGATTCAATTCCTCTTGGATCTTTCTTCTTCATCAAAGGAAGAAGCAATTCAGTCAGAGGAATTGGATATTGAAGTACCTGATGCTTCAATTTCAATGCCTCTAACTGAATCTCTTTAAAAACCCAAATAACCACTAAATGTTGAACCAGCTCTTCTTGTGTCTGTCTTATGGACAGATCAAGATGTAGCTGGTGAAACTCATTTCAATGAGGATGTTCTGGACTCCCCATAGCCAGATACATCAGAACAAACATCACCACCACAGAGAAGAGGCAGAGCTAAGAGGAGTAGAGGAAGGGGAAGAGCTCCAGTGAGTGCTACCACTGATCCTTCCTCACAGAAGAAGCCTCTTATATGAAGTAAAAGTTAGTTATGGGTGAAAATCACAAGAGAAGAAGAACAACAGAAACTTTCATTCAATAGAGGTGAACCTGTCTCCCAACAGGTCACTCTTTGAATAAACCAATGGAAATTTTCAAACTCCTTTTCATGATGGAAGCTCTGCACCTAATTGTACGTGAAATAAACAGGTATGCACATAAAACACAAGTAAACCAAAATGAACCATCTAAAAAGCAAAAACTGTAATGTGGAAAGATGTTACTGTTGAAGATATCTTAGCTTACTCTGGCCTAGTTATAGTTATAGGCCTTAAGCCTCATCCTTCTATTTCTCACTACTGGTCTACCTGTCTTCCCATTCATAATTCTTGGTTTACTAAAATCTTTTCTAGGGACAGGTTTTTAGCTATACATAAAGATTTACATTTTAATAACAACTCTAACATTCTTCCTAGGACTGACCCTAACCATGATAAACTTTTTAAGATTAGACATATCATAGACTTTCTTCTGAATTCCTTTGTTTCTCACTATTCTTCTAACAGGCAACTGTCTGTAGATGAGCAAATGTTGGGTACAAAATGTAGGATTGGTTTCCTCTAATACCTACCAAAGAAACCAGTCAAGTGGGGTATCAAGTTGTGGGTCCTGGCTGTAAGTGGATACTGTTTAAAGTTCAAGATGAACACAAGCAAGGAGGGGCAAATGCCAGCCAGAGATTTAGTTGATAATATTGTCATGGACCTGATGGACAAATTCAACAGGCTAGACAACTTCTACATTTCTTCTCGTTCACTTGATAAATTGTTGACTGTTGGAACTTATGCTTGTAGGGCATGTAGGAAGGACAGACTGCATTTCCAACAGGAACTGGCTGCAACAACCCTACAGCGAGAAGCAGCACAATATTTTACATGTGGAAGTTTGATAGCAGTGAAGTTAGTGGACAAATGAGACATCTATGCCCTTTATACTCCAGTGCCATGACAACAATAAGAAGAACAGGAAGGGATGCTGAGGTTACCAAATCTCAGCTAATTGTAGGCTATAATAAGTTTACAGAAGGAGTAGAGCTCAATGTCCAGTTCCTCAGCTATTATTCAACTGGACGAAGGTCAATAAAATGGTATAAAAAAACTTTTTCCGGCTTTTAGATTTGACCATAGTCAATGCTTTTATTCTCTACAAGACAAAGACCAATAAGCTGGAATTATCACAGAAGTCCTTCAGGATGGAGCTGGTCACTTCTCTTGTTGAACCTCTACTTCAGAGCAGACCTGGTCCTTCTGGTATTCCACTTACAACATCTGCACAGGACTCACCTCTGAGACTCACTCCTGAGAGGCATTATCCAATACTTGTCAAAAAAGGTAAAAAGAAAAGATGCTGACTATGCCTTACAGACAACAGGATACAAAGTGTACACTCTGTGATGTGTATTTTTGTATGAATCACTTTACAGAGTATCGTACCTGTGATACTCTGCAAAGAAGACAAGCTTTAACTTAGTACATAACCAAAACTACTGAATTATCATAGCTGCTTTATTTTGCACTTTATAATTTAAAATAACGATAAATCTGTTTATGATAGTTTCACTAAAATATTGTTTGTGTACCAGGTAAAAGTGTCTGCTCTTTTCCTCTAACAAATAGTTTTTTTTTTCTAAAAACTAACAAATATCTTAGCATTTTTATTGTATTTGAATGTATAACAATGTTTCCTTTTTACAATGTTTTTGCCTGAAGTATTTTTGCAAAGTTTTACTTTGTTATTCATACACTTGTATGTATGATACTCCCTTTCATTTCATAGTTCTTTCTGTGCAGGGCCTCATGTATGTTTTCTGAAAGTTCTTCATTCTCAAACATTTACATATACAATTCTGTATATCAGAGTTTGTAAAACTTACATATTTTTGTATTTTTCTGTTACTTATACACTTATATGTGTAATACCTCCTGTCACGTACATTTTCTGAAACGTAAATATATCTATATAGTTATGTGAACTACATGTATGTAGATTGGTACTCATTTATAGTTTCTGTTGTATGTGTTTTCTGAAAGTTGTTTCAGTTTTTGAAAGTACAATGTGAGTATACATTTGTATAGATGAGGTTGTACAACTTTTCATTGCTTTCTTTTACTGTACATTTCTAAATGTTACGAATAAGTAAGTTGTAAAGTTTCTAATGCTGCATCATTTGCTTTTACTTTATCTCAATTTAGACAGTTAGAAAAGCACAAGCTCAGTAGGCCTAACTACATAGCCCTACAAAGTACAAATCTAACTATAATACCAATATTTTGCAAATTCAAATATACATTTTAGAAAGAAAAAATACATATTAAATAAATCTACTAGTACACCCAAAACATCTGTAACTTGCTTAGGTTTATAAATAAAATATGTATGTGTTAAAAAAAATTAATATCCGTTCGGAGCAACAACTTGGTCATCACCATTTTATAGTCTTGACAAAATTATTATTTTCTCTTCCAAGCTCTTTACAAACAACTGTCAGAATCATGTGAAATACAACTTGTCCTTTCTATTGGTTATAAAAACACCCTTAAGAAAAGTAGATGGAATTAAACAAGAGGTTTGGAAAGAATGGAGTAGAAGGAGGCTCAATTCTAGTTGATTTGCTAGATACATTGATTTCTCAGCAAATCAAAATGGTGGGAGGTTCTAAATTTATATTCTAGCTTGCCAGTATCTAAAATTCATGTTTCTAATTCGTTAATCAACTGTAGAGGTATATGGTAGGCATAAAAAATATAAACAAAGCAAAAAGACATGAGGAGGTACTATGTGACACACACAAATCGATATTTAGCTTTTTGTTATATATATTTCCTTTTATATTAAGAAATTAAAACATACATGATATTAAAATTTGAAATATAAACTATGTTTTGATACCAATTTTTTTATATATAGTAATAATAAAGTTACTTATTAAATTTTTAAAAATAAATCGCTAAAAGACTGGGACATGCATAGTTAGGCCCACCCATTGAGAAAGGGTTAAAAGTGACATGTAAACATACCTTAATATACATGGTGATACAAAAGTCATGAACCACAGTTGTTTGCAATGTGAAGCATTGATATCATGACCCAATCATTCTTTCACTTGCAATTCACTTTCACATTATTGCAAGAATAATGAATACAACTCAATTATTGTAGCAAAAGATAAAAATGTTAGTTGAAACACAAACTTAACTTTGAAAAATCATTGTAAGGACATGAATGTAAACACCATACAAAATGGTAAAAACCCTATAACCCCAGCACTTTCAAAAGGAAGGCTTTTCTTCTTCAGGGGCAAATAGTTTGTAATTTTTCTTTCGTTATGGCCATAGCCATATTGCATAGTTCATTTCAGATATAATTCTAATAGGTAAATATTGACTGTCACACTGAAACAATACTTGATAAAAACAAAAAGACTCCAAAGCCTAAAACAGACAAAAATAAATAAAAAAAAGGGTACTTACTATACCACAATGTGTACAACTTTAAGGAAGTAAAAAATAAGAGGTTCAGACAATATTTAATAAAAATTTAACAAGTGTATAATTTTACCCACAGAATGATACCATAATTACTCAATGAATTCCACTAACCTATCCTTGTACAAAACTAAAGTACGGGAAGAAGCATATTTTTACTTGTGATAAATACCAAAGGTTTCAAATATTAGGTAAACAAAGTTTTATAAAAAAATATACTTTTGAGCATAAAAATCTTATGCAGAGATATACAAATTTATAATCATTTACTCAAACACAAAAAAAAAGGTAAAAAATCACTATATCTGCACTATAAAGCAGCTTAAGTTTTTGCTTATATGTAATAAAAAGTTTCCAACTTCCCAAACTTTTTATTTTATTCATTTTATGAGCTTCACAACCATTTCAATTTTGCCCCCTTGCCTGCTTGCTTATTTCTTTTAGAGAAAAAGCCCAGATTTTAATGTTGTAAGTTCATAGACATACCACTGTCCCATCAGGGGACTTGCCACTTTTTAATGCCAGCAAAAGAAGCAAATGCATGCTGTATTGCCATCCCAATCAAGGTAATAAATTAATTGCCATGCTTGACGTGAGTACCTTTGCTGGTAATTTTTTAACTTTATATACAACAGCATGAATTGATATATGATAAAAAAAAGATTTACCAGCTTATATTTAGTTTTATTTAATAAATACACTTATGTTTTGTTTTTTAGGTCAGCCTTGACTTTTGGAATTTTCATGTATACTGATTTGTTTTTTTCACTATCATGGCAATAGCATCACAGCTTTTGCTTCTTCCAAAATAAAAAAAGCTACCTTACCTTTTCCAACCAATCTTGGTCTGTAACTGTTTCACCCATAAAGTTGGAAACTTTTATCTTGGCCATTTCAGCCTACAAAAAAAAATTAACTGTTTTACCAAACTTATTTCCTAGAAATATCATAATTGTTTAAAAGTAGCAAAGTATGACAAAAAATAGAATAAATAAATCTAATATTAGTGACAAAAGATGAAAAACAAACAAAGTATTATAATAAGGAATGTTTATCTTTGAATCTTCTCTATCCAGAAATTCTACATGCTAAGTTGGCATAATGGTTCATATTAGCTTACTTTGTTTATAGGAAAGTAATATTTGAAATATAAATCACAATACTTTATGAGAAATTCATTTAATAAGATAAGGTTTATATGACCTCCTATACCAATAAAATCAGAATTTGCATGCTAATAAGTCAGGAGTAGCTAAAGTCAGTCAACAGCAAAGAAATATTTGTCCCTTATACTTCAAGTACATGTTAACTTGCAATCACATAGTATATTATATGTGTGTGTATAAAGTCGCAGATTTAAATGTTCTCTGATATTTAGATACTTTTGATTTTCATATTTTGAAGTACAAATATACTCACATCTTTGTTGATTTTCATCTCTAAGCATGAAATATTTCTTGATTAATTAATATAAAAGTTGGTATACTAATTGTATACATTTATTATAATTTTCTATTTGATTATAAAAAAACAAAAAACAGATGACTGAGTTGGAGTTTTGTTGTTTAAAGTTCTTTTTTAGTTAAGGAATTTTTTATATGAACTTATACACAAATCTACTATTTCCCGTCACTATATAATAAGGTAAGGTAAACAACATCAGTGGTCAGGGCTCAACATTAATTTTTGAGATCACTGCCCAGTCAGGCTAGTCCTCACCGAATCTACTTGCCCCGACCTGTTTTGGTTCAAAATGAAAATATATAACAGCAAAACCTTCTCCTATATGAACTAATATCAATCATATTTATGGAAATATAAAATAATCAACAAAACCAGAATAAGATGACAGTGCTCTTATCAAAATTGTATATAATTTAACATACAGTTGAAAAGATATGGCAAACATGTCTGGTAGCACCAGGTATCAAATGTGTAATCTTCAATTCACAAAGCAATCATTAAACCATGCCAGGGAGGGATTATAATGTGATGGTCAATCCTACATATTTTTTGGTAATAAGTAGCCCAAGAGTTGGCAGCTCAAAACTAGGTACAGTGACAGGTATTCTTAGAAGCTTTGCCATAACTCATAAACAAACATACAACTATAATGTCCCTATGGCTGAAAAGGCTAGAATATTTTGTGGTAACAAGAATTAAAACCTTTGGATCATTAAAAATTACAAACGTAATTGTAATAATCTATTTTCAATAAACAATATCAAATTCAATAAATTAATATAGCAATAAAATCTGAAGTTATCAGTCATTTTGTTTATGATAGAAAAAACATACACATATATAAATCTTCTTCTGCATTGCACTTTATATCCCACAGACTGGTATTATAAAAACATACTCCATGATCAATTATGCACAAACAGGCTGTGATTGCAATATATAGCCTTTATAATGTGTAATGACAAATAAACATGTAATAGAGATGAGAAAATCTGCATCTTGCATATTCCAAATAACAACTTTTGGCTCACTTCGCACTGTAATATAGTTGTGTACAAAATAATGACTAATTTTATACCTATGATAAGCTTATTTTTCTCTATCTAACAAGTGAATTGGCACATGCTGTTTGGTTCCTTTATACAGTGAAGATGCACCTAAAATATTCACAAGCTTGATCACATAAATGTAGTTGTGTTTATTTTGTTCACCACCACCACATGATTGATCAGCATAGTTGTGTTTGTATAAAATCATAAACAACACCCACAACTAATCACATGTAAAGCATATTAACCTCATATTAATCTCACTAGTTACTGTTATTTTTAGTATTTTTCTAAATTTATAATAAACTAGCGTAAAAGCCAGTTAAAAATGAGGGAACTGCTGGAAACCAAATTAATTCTGCATAAAACTGGAAATATGTAAAAGAAATATAAAAGTATAAAATTTCCTTTCCCAGGAACACGCTGCTGAATGCACTACATATAACTGAGCAAACATGCATCATACAGGTATCTTTGGATAAAAGATTAAAACATACGATGACCATGTGATTGCATACACACCTGTTCTTCTTGTCAGGAAAGTTATCATTTTCCTAAACTGAAAATGTATTTCCAAACATACTTACCTCTGCTGACACTAACAGCTATTTCTCAATCTTCATCTTTGCCATCTAATGTTGCATTCGCTTGCTCCAGTCTTTATATACCCCACTTGACTGCCCTTGGCAATATCTAATTTGTAAAACTTTACGCCAGCCCTCATATACCCTCTATGCAGGTATTGTATATAAGCACTGTATGCAGACAATAAAATTACTTTTTTGAGACTTACCACATTCTGGTCACTAACACCAGCTCTTAGTGAGGAGGAAGGGAGGGAGAGTGTCAGCGGAGGTAAGTATGTTTGGAAATACATTTTCACTTTAGGAAAATGTTAACTTCCAAAACATACATACCTCCACTGACACTAATAGCTAGAATCCCATAATAAGGAGGCAGTGAGGATAGAGATCATACAGAAAGCGTCTCCAGAGAACAAATATGTACCACGAGAAGTGGTATTAAAGTGGGGAACACTGCACTACATCCAGAACAGGTATGCTCTTCACCCAGAACTACAGAAAATTCAAAAGGGTGGAATATAATACAAGTATGATGGTCCAGCCCTGACCAAACATCCGAGGTTCCACAACTCGGATTGGATTTAAGGGGGTCATGGTACCCATATCACTCATTGGTGACCAGGGCAGTTGGACCGCAGATACATTCATTTTTGTGATAGGATCCCTAGCAGTAACCACAGAATGATGCATTTTGAACCATTCAATTTATGAAAGAAAGAAAGCAACATCAAAGTGGATAATCCTTCTGATCAACCTGAAGAAGTCCAAAAGGCAACATCCCAGGTCTGGATTGACGGGATCATATGCCATACTCCACCAAAGTCCAGAATGCAAACAGTTGTCTTTACTCCCCCACCAAATGGGCAAGGAAAATTCCACTTACCCATGGTATTAAGGAGAGGATGTGGAACACTGTCCCACCAAGGACCAAAGATGGGATTTATGAGGAGACAGTGGACCCCCCTGCATGAACAACATAAGACTTGACAGTGTTCATAAGAGAGTCCAAGCACCTCCCCCACCGGATAACTATGAGTCAAATCTGGAATGGTTTTATGAGTAGGCTCCCACGTAGGTTGGTCCTGCTCCTACCGACATCTGGGTCCCCAACTTTGCCCTTTTCTCTGAGAGTGGAGAAAACTCAACACTCTGAAGGTAAATCATCTGTCCATCCCCCCATTGACTGGGAACTGGGTGTGGTAAAGACTCCCGAGCTCCACCAGTAGAAGAAAGGGGGAAACATAATTGTTGGGGATTCTTGAGGAACAGGTCTCAGGAGACAGTGCAACAGGTGAACCACGTTCCCTAATTTTTAAAAGCAAACTGATCTAAATTGATTCAGCTCTCAGATCAGCAGGAACTGGCAAAATCGTCTTTAGCTTTACTCATGATTGTCCATGAGTAGCTGTCCGTTAGAAATATTGTAATATGATATCACCATCCAGAATTGCATCTAGAGGATAGTCTTATGGAACACCTCATCTTGACATAGCCCATAGCAACCAGGAACCAATATAAAGTTTGCTAGTGTGGAATTCAAATACAAGCATACCCGACTGAGCAACACTCGCCACTGAGTGGGATCCAAAAAAAAATCAATAGGGACCATAGAAGAGAAAGAAACAATAACTGTAAGTCAGATAATACGTTACTCATCGCCTTGTTAAAATCTAGTAGAGGTAGTCAGCAAAGCCACAGAGGAAAGACAAAGTCCCTTTGAAGCGGAAACTGCCAGATCATGAAGGTAATGAGATATAAACATGTCAGGAGAAGTACACATACCGGCCCGCAAAATATCTCCCAAGAATAAAGACGGAAAGGATTAAGAGAACCAATGGAACGAGGGGTGGAAGGAGAGGGCCTTGAGACACGAAGGGATGAACCTGCAGAACTAAAAGTGGAAATAGCATAGGACAAAACGTTAGTCTGCATACTCGTGCTTTGTCAAGAAAAAGTGATTTTATTGTCTGCATACAGCGTTTATATACAGTACCTGCATATAAGGCATGTGAGGGCTAGCATAAAGTTTCGCAAATTAGATATTACTGAGGGCAGTCGAGTGGGGTCTATAAAGACAGAAACAATAGAACACAATGTTATATGGCAAAGATGAAGATCGAGAAATAGCTATTAGTATCAGTGGAGGTATGTATGTTTTGGAAAGTCGTCCTCTTTCCTACAGTTAATTGTATCTTCAGTCTGTTTTAATAAAGACTTTTTTGTAATAATTCCCAAGCATAGATTTGTACTAATTTTTGGCTTATTCTTCACAGGAATGTTCCTGGCTTTCCTATTCAGATCCTACCTAGCTGATGTGGTTCTGGGAACTCCCTCCTTAACAAGCTTTCATATAGCAGAAAAAGTGCCAAAATTTAGGAACTATTTATGCCCATGTTAGAAACTAAGTTCACTAAAATGGGAATGTGCAATCAAAAGAAAAAGTGTTATTGAAGAAAAGTGAAATTGGACTCATGAAGTTTAGAGAAATTGAGCATGACTGACTGACCGACAATTGGCTTTTATATATATTGATGTCACAAAGTAATGTTTATTTTCAATAGAAAATTCAGTAGTTGTAGTGAAGTGGTCTTGCAAAAAGTTATAGGGAGAAAACCCTCAGAACGGTACTAATCATATTTTCAATTTATTACAGGTTTCTTACTACATTGTCTATGTCATATGTTTTTTATGTCATGATGTAAACAGTCATACATTGGTTGTAAAATAAGTTACTTAACATTTGCCAGACAGAGAATAATTAAGATACTTGCACAGTAATATGGCAAAATCTGCTAATTTTGATTATAATTCTTAATCAAAATATCTAGTGTAAATAATTTAATGTCATAAATAAATTGGATGTTCATTATATCACACTTTTTGATATATAAGAATCTATTAGTTTGCTGACTTATTACAACATGGATTTAGTATTTCAGTAGACTTTCATTCTAAGTAAAGAATGAGATATTTTAATAAGTCAAGTAATTATTACATGGTTTATAATGGCATAAAAGTATGAGTATAAAAATTCATCTTATTGCATCATTTGAATTATAATTTCTCAAAACATTTTCCTCTTATTATGCTCATAAACATCAACTTAAGATGACTTGACTGGTTGAACAAATTTTTTTAGCTTTCACTTGCCCTGACTTCAGTTTCATTTGTCTCAGGCAGTTGAGCAACCACTAATGTTGAGTCCTGGTCATGTTTACACCAGAAATAATATAGATACTTGAAATGAGAAATAATGGAAAATGATGGATATAGGATAACAATTAAGTACCTTGTGTTCCTGGACATAATTCCATGTTACAACACTAGTAGCAACACCTGCAGCCAGAAGCCTATTGTAGAAAAGAAAATATTCAAGTCCAAAAACTTATTAAAGTAATCAGAATAGAGAACAGTTTTATACTATTAAATTATTAAGTATAACCAAAATATGGTGTGTGTGTCTACATCAATGAATATTTTACTTGTTTCTAAGGTCCATATTTTAAATAAAATTCATTTTTGAGCACTATCAAATACAGGTATACAATAAAAAAAGGCTGCTTTTTTCCAGATTTTTCAATGAGCAAAGTGCTAACTCAAGCAAATAAAAAAGAGCAATTTTACATTTCAGAAAAAATTACTTTTTTGAGTTATATCTATGTCAGAGTACAGTGTAATACAAACCTGAGTACAAGTGATATAAAATCATTTATTCGTAATAATAAAAATCACACTGAGTAACTTTGTGACATCACATATGGGGACTACAATCAAACAATATTATATAAAACCTTTTTAAAAATATGTTTTCGATTACTCGTTGTTTTGTAATGGTGAAGTAAAGAAATGTCTATGCTACATTATTAGGTTAAAATATAAATTAAAATTTGCAAATATAAATTAAAAATGAATTAATGTACACAGACAGTGTGGTAAAAGTAGCTTAAGATACAGAAATTTCAGTGTAGCACAGTGAGTAAATACTTTCCAAAATGAAATGTTGAGATAAGTCAAAGACCTTTTGTCTGCATGCAAACATCATACTTTGTATGTTTTCATTTTGTTTATTGTTAGATATAATGTAAATCAAGCATAATTTAACCGATGTCTACCGGCTACTAACTTTCTTAGTAGGCAATGCAAGTCTTGCTATATTTCATTCCAACAATAAAACTAGTGGACAAATATTTTCGAAAATTCATAAATACTTTAACAAATGTAGGTAGTTTAAGAAACATAAAGCCTATTACTTTTAATAAATTTAGTTTTTTTGCATTATGATCTTTAATATCTTGGAAAATTACATTAGGAAATCGTATTTATAAGAAATGATTATGTTTGCTACAGATTTGAACTTATTACTTTTAATGTTTTAGTACATTATTTTGAAATCCCCCAAAAATTGTATCCTCCATAAAATGCATATTTTATCTATTTTTAATTTTTTTAATAATCAC